AGGCATGCTGTCGCAGTGAGATCTTCTTAGAGCAGCCCTCGCTACCCTCCCACAATGAGCAGATACGTTGTCGTGGTAGAAACAATTCTTCAGTGCAACTCTCCTAGCCTTTTTCTAACCAAAATGTTTGCAATTCTTTAAAGACTTCTTCCCAATATTTCTCATGATTCTCCTACAATCCTTTGAGGAAATAACAAGATTACCCTTTGGGATCCTTAAAATAAATCAACATAACCTTCTGAGCTTTTGATGGCACCCCAAGTACCTAAGTGAAGTGTATGCCTGAAAGAACGTGTCTCAGCCATCAGTAGTCACAGACATGTGTAAATATGTTTTGTTTGGAATAAGCCCATGCCTGTATGAACCAGAACCCGGAGCACTACTTTTGGACAAGACCTTGTGGATGTCGTCCCAGCCCTTTCTTTTTCTTGTTGTTGTTAGGTGCCATCAAGTCAGTTCTGACTCCCAGGGCCCCTGTGTACAACAGCATGAAACACTGCCCTGTCCTGGACCATCTTCACAATTGTTCAGATGCTTGAGCCCCTTGTTGCAGCTCTGCCAGCCCATCTTGTGCATTCTTCATTCTTGAGATAGCTAGAGTGAAAAATAACAAAACCAGTTAGCTATTCTTGGTCTCCACAAATTACTTGTCAAGAATGTATTGGAGATGTTAAAAAATGTTCTTGATATTTTTAAAACCTTACGGTTCTGATTTTTATATTGTCTCACTTTTTACTTTGTCAATCTCTTTGTTTGTGGGCATTGTCTATGACTTTACAAATAGGGTTATCAGATTCAGCAGGTAAAAATAAAGGATAGCAATTAAATTTAAATTTCAGAATGGCAGTTTTTAAATGTGAGCTCCATACCAAATTTGGGACTTAAGGAAACAATTTGTGGTTATCTTAAATTTAAATTCAACTGGATGCCTTGTATTTTATCTGACAACTCTGTGTCATCATCAGTATCCCAAAATTTCCAAGCCATCTTTTACTTCAATTTAAGTTATAATGTTAAAATCACCGTGTAATAATATTTGTTATATATATCATGCTTTCTTCATAGGGCTAGCATTTGAGATTTGGCAAGGCATAAGGATTTGCCTAATCCTCTTAAATTTTATTTTTGACTTTTATTAAGGAAACATCTGACTTAAAATACCCTACATTTCTTAGTTTATAGCCTACTTAAACATGGGTTTTGGAAAAATTAATATTAAAAACTATACCCCTAAAAATGATAGTTCGAACTATAATCAGATTTTATTCATGCCAAAAATTACAATAAATATCACATTTTGGGTCTACATGGAAACCAAATAATTACTTACTATAATTTCATTACTGTATATACAATAGTTATAAACATTATTTAAAAGACGAGTAAAGAAAATCTTTACAGATAACTCAAATACTTTATAAATTGATTATGAAATAAATGTGGTAATATATATTCC